AATAAAAGTAAATATATAAGCCCTAGCCGGTTTGGCTCAATGGATCGAGCATCAGCCTGCGGACTAAAGGGTCCCAGGTTCGATTATAAAAAGAAATATATAAGCCCTAGCCGGTTTGGCTCAGTGGATCGAGGGTCAGCCTGCGGGTCCCAGGTTCGATTCTAGCCAAGGGCACATGCCCGGGCTTGAACTACCCCCACCCCCCCCAGTGGGGGGCGTGCAGGAGGCAGCCGATCAAGGATTCTCATCATTGATGTTTCTATCTCTCTCCCTTCCTCTCTAAAATCAATAAAAAATAGACATTTAAAAAATATATAAGATCTAATTGAAGAAATATATATTAAAATGAATGAAATATAAAAAGTTTAATATTTTTGTGATAGAAATATTAAGCTTTGTAAGGATAGCAATACTTTCTGAATTAATCTATAAATTCAGAGCAGTAGTTGAATTCCAATAGGATGCTCTTCTGGAGTGTGGCAGTATTGATTCTACATTTTAGCTGTAAGGAAATTCTGAGAAGACTAATTAGAGGAATGGGTAGGTAGAGGGGTTTGTCCTGTCAGCCTCATAAAAAATGTAGAACTCATATAGTATTGACATCAGAATATATAAGTCAGGTAATAGATTTCAAAATTAGACCTCAAATATTTGGGGTTTAGCATATGATACATTTTAAAACATTTTCAGTAAATATTTTCGGATAGCTGGCTGATCATCAGGCACAGATGTTGCTAATATGTAGTTATCAATTCCTATCTGCTTCCCTAGTTTCTAGTAACTTTCCATGCCTCAGTATATTTATTCCATCCTGAATGCTGGTACCAATTGATAATTTTAAGACTTAGATAATTTCCCACCACATATATAATGAAGTAATTAAAACTCTAGCTAAGAGGTATTGAAACTGATATTTATTATAAGGCTATTCATGGGCCAGGATGCTAGCTCATTTAATTTCACAGCTCTTAAGTAAAATTAATCTGTTTTATGAAAGAAGAAACAGATTCTTATGCAATGCAATTTGATCATTGTCACATAGGATTCAGTTCTAAAGTTTGTCTTCATTGTACAGTTGACCGTTGAATAACACGAGAGGTTGTGGCACCGACCCCATATGCAGTCAAATCTGAGTATAACTTTTGACTCCCCCAAACTGAACTACTAATAGCCTACTGCTGTCAGAGGCCTTGCCAAATAACAGAAACAGTCAGTTAATAAGTATTCTGTTACATATATACTGTACTCTTACAATAAAGTAAGCTAGAGAAAAGAAATGTTATTGAGAGCAAAATACATTTACAGCATTTATTGAAAAAGATCTGTGTATAAGTGGACTTGTGCAGAACTGGATTGTTTAAGGGTCAACTTTAGTTAGGCAAACTGCCTCTTAAAACTGAATTGTGTGGCCCCTGTTTATCTTCCAGGTAAACCTCCCTGAGCTCTAAATTCCTCCTGTACTGATTTTCTTAGTCTTCCTCCTAAATGTCTAAATTTGGCCACTTCATACTTTTGCCTGAGTACTTCTCTTTGCCATTAACATATTTCTTATTCCCTTTCCCACCTGTATATTGTTTAAAGGTCATGATTCCCAAATAATAATTTAGTAAGACAAGCGTACATGTAAACAACTAAAATACAAAGCAGGATGAAATAGTATCAAAGGAAACAAGTAGCATGCACAGAGCAATCATTTTGAGTAGTATTGGGGATAAAGAAGACTTCTGTGAATGGATTACTTTTTATCTGACCCTTGAGAAGTGAAAAAGATTCAGCTAGGTAGCATCTAGGGCAGTGATGGCGAACCTTTTGAGCTCGGCGTGTCAGCATTTTGAAAAACCCTAACTTAACTCAGGTACCATGTCACATATAGAAATTTTTTGATATTTGGTACCATAGTAAAACAAAGACTTATATTTTTGATATTTATTTTATATATTTAAATGCCATTTAACAAAGAAAAATCAACCAAAAAAATGAGTTCGCGTGTCACCTCTGACACGCGTGTCATAGGTTCGCCATCACTGATCTAGGGAGAAAGGAATATGAGCATCAGTATGGAGGCATGGTTGGTCTGTGGGGAGAGAGGAATTGGGAGATGAGACTAGGGAAGGCAGTTTGGGACCAGATTATAAAAGGCCATGCTCCTAGTTTGGCTTTCTTTCCTGAAAAAGAAAAGATTGGGAGTGGACAACGAATAAGATTTTGGTACTTTTCTTAAAGCTTGGGCTTATAAAAATCGAAAACTACAGTAGTCCCCATTATCTGTGGTTTCAATTTTGGTTACCCTCGGTCTGAAAATATTAAATGTAACATTCTAGAAATAAATCATAGCTTTAAATTATGTGATGTTCCTGGTAGTGCAATGATGACATCTTACGTCATCCCATTCCTTCCCACGGGGAACATGACTCATCCCTTTGTCCAGGGTGTCCACACTGTATAAGGGTAAGTGCAGGGCAATAAGATATTTTGAGAGAGCCCTCGCTGGTGGTGTTCAGTTGGTTGGAGCATCATACCATATACAAAGAAGTGGCAGGTTCAATTCCTGGTCAGGACACATACCCAGGTTGTGGGTTCAATCCCTAATCAGGGTGTGTACAGGAGGCAGTCAATCAATGTTTCTTTCTCACATAGATGTTTCTCGCTATTTCTGTTTCTGAAATCAATAAAATTTAAAAAATTATAAAATAAATTTTTATTAAAAAAAGGATTTTTGCCCAGCCGGTGTGGCTCAGTGGTTGAGCGTCAACCTATGAACCAAGAGGTCACAATTCAATTCCCGATCAGGGCATATGCCCGGTTTTAGGCTTGATTCCCAGTAGGGGACATGCAGGAGCCAGCCAATCTATGATTCTCTCTCATCATTGATGTTTCCATCTCTCTCTCACTCTCCCTTCCTCCCTAAAGTCAATAAAAAAAGAAAGGACATTTTGAGAGAGAGAGACCACATTCATATAACTTTTATTACAGAATATTGTTATAATTTTTCTATTTGATTATTGGAGTTGTTAATTTCTTGCTGTGCCTAATTTATAAATTAAACTTTACCATAGGTGTGTGTGCATGTATAGGAAAAAAACATTGCATACATAGGGTTTGTTACTATTCCTGGTTTCAGGCATCCACTGGGGTCTTGGAACATATCCCTCATAGATAAGGGAGATTATCGTATATTGAAACAAAAAGCACAGTTTGGTTGACATATAACTTTAAAAGTGTGAGAGGTTCTCTTACATAATGTGTTTCTGAGATAGCATTCTGAAGCCCAACTAAAGAATGGCAATTTCAGTTGTGAAATGCTTATGCACATTGGTGCATACATTTATATTTATGTATGTATAGAATATTTTTAGTCAGCAGTACATGGGCCTTTTCTTTTTACATTTAAATACCAGCTGATCATTTTACATACTATATACATTTATCTTTGAGATTTAGTATATTTAAGTTAAGCATATTTAACTAATTTTTTATCTGCCTATTACCAAAATCTGTTTTTAACTATTTACCAGCTGGAGTTACCTATTAGTTATTGCATTTTTTAAATTATTGTAACAAAGACTTACTAATTAATAAAATAATTATGAGGGTTTTCGCCCTGGCTGGGTGGCTCAATTGATTGGAACTGTTGTCCTATACACCAAGCATGTCAAACTCGCAGCCCACAATGAATGTTTTTGCGGCCCAGCCAATGTAATGGTATGTAAGAAACGTTTTAATAAAAATTTTGTAACTTAATTCTTACAATATCCTGTTACACATAATTATTAATAAAAAACTACAACGTTCAATAATGACTGATTACTATAATCGTGTTGCATTCATTTCACTTATGCGCCTTACGCGCAGGCGCACTATTTCTCTCCACTCATACTAGCAGTGAATATTTCAGCAGCCCATTGCCACGTCATTAGTCTTGTACTGACTTGTTTGGTGTGTGCAACAGGAAATAATTCGCCTTTGGAGGACAAGAAAAATAGGTTTATTTGTGATATGCTTATTAATCTGTGCAGTTATTCATTGTCTGGTAAGTTAATGTTCAAAAAATACTAATTTTTATTAAAATGTTCTATATTTTATGTTAACAATTACTCATTTATTTCAGCCCTTTGTATTCAGCATGTCTCTATTGAAATAAACCTACGTTTCTATGAAAATGGAAGGTGGTTGTTTTTTTGCAGCCCACATAAACTTAAACCTTGTTTATTTGGCCCATGTTAGCCTTTGAGTTTGACATGCTTGCTGAACACCAAAAGGTTGCGGTTTGATTCCAGTCAGGGCACATACCGCGGATGGGAGGCAACCGATCGATGTTTCTCTCTCACATCGACATTTCTCTCTTTATATATATATATAAAAAATCAATAAAAACATGTCCTCTGTTGAGGATTATTTAAAAAATATCTTTTTAAAAAATTAGTATTTTGAAGGTACAGATAAGCAGAGAGTAAAGCAGTTAAAATTTCTTAATACCTTGAAATCTGTGGCACAATTTTAAAGAACATACATGTTTCAAGAATGTTACTTTTAGGGTCCACCAGTTGACAGAATTTAAGTCTTTATTTACAATGTACTTACCTTCCTGAGTGTAGTATATCTGTTTCTGATTTTATCGCAAACTTCATTATATTTATGAAAAGTGGTAAATGACAGGTACCTATAAAACCAGAGAAAGGCATATACTAAACTCTCTTAATTTATTGGAATAAATTTTTTATTTTGTTCAACATATGATCAGCATATTTTGAGTGTTACCTTTAAGATTTGATTTTATAAATAAGAAGGTTTTCTTTCTAGGAATTTGAATGTTGGAGTATTAGAAGTATCCACGGAAAATAAATTGATTTCTTAAAACAAGTTATTATGTTGGGATGACTGAAATATTTAATAAAATTTCTATAATTATATCAGGACTTAAATGAGTTGATGTTTTGTATAGCAGTTGTATTATTTTGTCTGTGTAGTTTATAGTGATGTACTTCTTTTTGTGTGTTTAGCCGTATATGTGGGAGTCCATGTCCTGCAGTGTGGCCCGATGTAATCAAACTACCATATTTCAACACCATGAAACCAAAGAAGCAATATCGTCGAAAGTTAAGAGAAGAATTTGTTTTGTAAGAAAGGGATGCTTAAACATCCATATTGCATTGAATGTTTTTTTGTTTGTTTGTTTGTTTGTTTGTTTAGTTAATTACTCTGAATTCTAAATGTTACTCAATTCTCTATTGACTAAAAGTAGATCTATCACAATTATTCTGTGTCATTTTATTTTGAGTTTCCCTTTGCTACATGCAAATTATCATTTCACCACCATTATGGAATCAGTGGTTTGTGTTTGTGTGTTAGATTTGGTACTTACGTAAGAAAGAACTTTTACATTATTTTAAATTTTATTGAAACATCTTTCAAGTTACTTGAGCTCAGGTTTTTATTTTTATTGTAGGAAACTATTCTGTTCAATTCTTAATTTATGTTATAACAGCAAATTGCCCATAGAGTAATAAAATATACTATTGTTTGCCAAAATTAAAATTGTTAGAATGATAGTTATAAAAATATGTGCAAGTATTTTTCAAAAGAAAATTGATATTTACTGGAATAAAGTATTATTAACATGGTATAAAATGCTAGTACTTGAAATAAGCTTCTAAAGAAACATTAAACTTGTGTCAAAGGCCATGAATGACTTTTTTAACCCTCTCATGTTAGTATTCCTGCAGCCGCACTAGACTTATTTGATTACATGCTGGCCTTGGATCCTAGTAAGCGCTGCACTGCAGAACAAGCTCTTCAATGTGAGTTCCTACGGGATGTGGAACCCTCAAAAATGCCCCCACCAGAGTAAGTGACTTTTTATTATTAGATCCCTTATATAAAGAAACTGGATAGTTTTAATAACATCTGTATATAACTTTCAGAAGCTTTTTCATGGTTAAGTCAAAAGAAATAAATAAAAAGAAATAGAATAACAGTATAAAATATATAATTTGCATATCTAGAATGCTTAATGTTCAGCTAACCATAAGACTAACAAAAGTAGCCTTCCTCTAGCCAATTTTATTAATATATTTTAATTCAAAGAATATATTACTGCTGCAGCTTATTGTAGTACCCATACTACTGCTTATACTATTAGTTGGTGTTGCTAAAATTTTGAGTGCTAATGCTAAACATTTTTCATGTGTTACATTCATACTCTCAGGTGAGTATTATTATTGTCATCACCATTTTATAGAAGAGGAAGCAGGCTCAAAGAGGTTAAGAAACTTGCCCAAGAATACAAATATAGTAAAGGGTGGACCCCGCTCTCAAATTCAAGTTAGTCCAATAAGAGAAAGAAGTTCTAATATATTCCTTGGCAAACTATATAATAAATTTTTTATATATATAATAAAATTTTTAATCATTGGATAAAAGAATATTAGTATCAAAAGCCTTTATAAAATGAGTTTATTGTCCAATGGGGGGGCTGTGGAATGCATAGAGTTTGGGAGTCAGAATAGCTGGGTTCTTGAAACTTTACTCTCTTGTGGCTCCTATACTTTCTCTAAGATTGATTTGGGGAAAGGGGAGAGGACAAAACAGATTGTTTGGTTCTTCTTGGCAAGATATAGAAACTTTGCAGGGATTTTTAAAATAATTTTAAAAATGCTGATGAGCGTCATAAAGCAAGCCTGTGCGTACAATAATAAAATATTTCCATGTAATACAATTAACATATTGTAAATGAACAAACATGGGCTTTGGAGTTCAAATCTTGACTCTTTCACTTATCACTTAGATTGGGTTTACTATATTTCTGTGAGACCCTCATACTCAGCTTCATTGAGTTTTTGCTGTATACACATAGCCTTTGTGGAGATGATTTGAAAGGCTTAAAGGATATATCATCTGACATATTGAGGGACCTGAATTATTCATTGTTTAATTGTCTAATGGATTTTTGTTGGATTTGCTTATCAGTAGCTATTAGCTGTCATGAAACTTTGGCTCTAGTATCCCTTTAAAGAATTTTTTTCAACTTTGGATTTGAAAATTTTTCTCATTTACATTAATATAGAAAAAAATAATACAGTGAGCATTCATATGTCCTTCACCTAGATTTAACAGTTAATATTTGGGCATATTTGCTTTATCACTCTATGTAAACTTTTATCTGAACTGTTTGAATAATATATTGTGGAAGTGATGCTTCATTTATAAGTGATTCTATAAGAACTAACACTAATTCTGTATAAAGCATAAGAAATTTAACATTGTAATATTTAATAGCCCATAGTCAAATTTCTCCACAATAATTTTCTTTTATACCCCCCCCCCCTTTTTTTTTAGGGCAGAGCTTACATATTTCATTTAGCTGTCATGTGTTTTCAGTCTTGAATCACTCTTTGGATAAGATTTTTATGACATTGACACTTTTGAAGAGTACAAGCTAGCTGTTTTGTAAAACATTCTAAAATCTGATTAATTGCTTTCTTAATATCAGGATTAGAGTAACATTTTTTTTTTTTTTGCAAGAACTAGCTAGGTAGTAACGTGTGCTTCCTGCTTTATCATATCAAGAGGAATATAATGTCATTTTTCTTGTATTGATAATGTCTAAGTTGATCTAAATTGATATCTTGGTTTAGGTATTACACATAAAAGAATTCTGGTAAAACTGTATGAAAGTTCAATTTTAATCGACATCTAAACTTTTTAAATCAATGGTTTAAATAATTGCAAAAGATGTAATTTTCAGTCTATCATAAATGTTGACACTTAAATGGAGCAGTTACATCACTCTTAAAAATATATTCAATGAAGTAAAAATATCTTATCTTTATATTCACAAACATTCCCTTAGAAAACATATGAAGAGCTCTAGTCCTTTGGCTTAGTGGATAGTCAGCCCATGGACTGAAGGGTTTCAGGTTCGATTCCGGTCAAGGGCACATACCTTGGTTGCAGGCTTGATCCCAGGTCCCAGGGCCACATGCGTGAGACAACCAATCAATGTGTCTCTCTCACATCGATGTTTCTCTCTCTGTCTCTACCCTTCCCTTCCATTCTCTCAAAAACTCAGTGGAAAAATATCCTTAGGTGAGGATTAACAACAATAAAAATGTATGAAGAAACTAACAATTTGACATTGCTCTTTTTTCATTTTGGACTTACATTGCTTCTGCAGATTTTTAATGCAGCATATATTTTTGCTTGAAAGCATTAATTGATTACCTTGTGATACATTTTTAAAACAAATATATGTATATATATATAAATGGAAATTTGATTTTTAAAATCTGACTACAAAGTTCTTTTTCTTCTTAATTTGTCATTGCAAATATTAATAGCACACATTTCAGTTAAGAAAAGGAAAAAAATATTACATTTTGTTGGAAATGCAACCTAATGAAATAAGTAGGGCTAATTTCCCCATGTAATTTGCATATCTATCAATTAATAGTACTTATTCTAGATTGCAATAGTTCCACATTAATTTTAGTATTATTTTAATAAGTACCCTTGTAAACAAGCATTTGAGAATAGGTGGAGTTTTGTCATAGTTATATCACTGAGTTTTAAATTCCCTCCATATTATATCTCCAAAACCACATAGTAATCGGTCATCAAAAATTATTTTAATGACCTGTCAGATATAAACTTAAGATTTTTTTCTCCTTTAATGTTTTTGACAGTAAATCCTGGAAACTACATGACTTGCTAAAAGATAAGTTATTCAGTCATTAACCACTTAATTTTTCAAATTTTGGGAAAGTAAGCCAAAGAAGTTTTACGAATACTTACTAAAATACTTATTATACTTGTTACTTTTTCTTTTTATTTATACTTGTTTAATCCAGTATACTTAGAAAAGGTTAGGAAGTCATTCCAGTGTTACTTTGCCAGTCAATTTATTAAATTGTTTCTTATTACATTTTTAAACTATATATGTTTTTTGTCAAAACCTTGGAACTATAGATGTATTCCCTTCAATTTATGAAAAGTGTCTCCCACATAACTTAATTGAAAACACTTCATATTATCAAATGTAACACCTAAATTCACTGTTTTTATCAGAACATACCTGACTATATTTTTTTCATTAAGAATAAACATTAATACACATTTTGATGAAAAATCTGTAAACCAGTAATAAATTATGGGATATATCACTAAGGCAGTCAGGTAAAATTATAAAGATGTCAATCTAATATTTAAATTAAAAAGTTATATAAACAATATTACCTCATTTTGTAATATGAAATAGATAATTAAAATTATAAATTATTTATGAGCTAAGGACAATGAAGAAAGGCATGGCATTCCTTTAGGAAATATGTGTATATAATACACTCTTCTGATCAATTTTTTAGGAATAATCAAATGATTGAGTGGGGTATTAAAAAACACAAAAAATAACTCTATTAATTGTGTTAGATGTCCTGTCAAACTTTTCTGAAGTATTTAATGAAAAGAGAAAAAAATATATATTGTTAAAAAGTGAATTAGAATTGCACCTAGTCTATAATTTTTTTCTTAGTAGCAAGTATAAAGTATTAAATAATGCATAAGGTAAAATATGACCAGCTGTATTTGCATAAATATTTCATGGTGTGATTTAATAAAAATAGCTTTAAGCTACCTTTTTGAATGATGATAAATGGAATCAAACATGAATATATTGCCTAACCATGCCCGAGCTCTTACATATGTTAACGTATATTACCTCTACCCTATAATGTATTGTTATCTCATTTTTAAAAACATGGAAATTGAGGCACAGAAGTCATTACTTGCCTAATGAGACACAATAAATAAGTGGCTGAGCCAGTATTCGAACCTTCAGAAAAGAGCATAAAAATGTGCTCATCCTAGAAAACATTCCTGGTGTATCTGTGAGTCAGCATCACTGAGTTAATACTGTGTTAGCTATTTGTTGGGTGATGTTTATCTGTCCTAGAGATGAGTGTTGAAATCATCCATAAAGAATCTCTTACCTTTAAATTATGGGAGGGAACAAAGCCCTTTTAGTGGATTTCTTTGCTTTACACTCATGGGACTCATTTTCATAAGAGCCATGCATTCCCAGGATTTTTGAATGGTGGAAGTAAAATCACTCGTTACTGCAGTACTGTAGTACATCTGATTTCAGAATATCCCCACAGAGGCTAAGGCTACACATCTTATAAAAACACATGAGGGGCTAGGGGGAGAAAAAGGAGAGGAAAGGCTTTGGCGGGATTATGATGCCTTATAGCTTCCCAATATCAATATTTCAAATTGTCCCTTTGTTTGTTACTCCAGGAGGTTTTTACACGCTGAGGCAATGCGCCATAGTAAGATGGCTGAGAGGTATGCCTTTGTTTTGTTTTTGGACCTCAGGTGCATAGACTTGGTTTAATCATAATCCTTGTATCACTCATCATTGGTCCATGCATGGCTCTTTTTTTTCTTTAGTTACTTAGTTATTTTCAATGGTGTTGATAAGCAGCTATGAGCCTACCAAATGAAAGCTGGAATCTTGAAAACAATCTACTTTAAGCATATCATACCTTTCCCCACTCCAACCCTACACCACTACCTATATCCCCTTTGCCTTCCTGTACCTGAGGTAACCATCATCCCTGTTTTCTTTTGTATATACTTTTTGTTGCCATCTACATGTACTCATAATAATTTATATTTTTTAATTTTAGTTTTTAATTTCATAAAAGGGGGTCATGCTGTTTGTATTCTTTTGGGAATGACCTTTTTTTTTTTTTGCTTAATATTATATTACATTGCTAAGATTCAACCATGTTGTTGCGTATACCTTTCTTTTATAACATGACATAAGAGTAATTGTAAAAGAGGAGGTATGAAAGAATTTGCTGAATGTGCAGGCCATTCTCAAAGATCCATTGTAGGAAAGAGGACATGTGGATATGGAAATTATTTTAAAACAATTTTAAGTGCACCCCCTTAAAAAGTCTTCATGTATCCTTAGAGGAAAACATGTATAGGCTGAAGACTGCAGACTTTTATCACCAGCTCGCGGCTTCTTAAGGAAAATTGTAGTTATTTTGGGCAAGTTTATTAACCTTTCCAAGCCTTAATTTTCTTATTTTAAATAGACACAATATTGGATTATTAGGGTAAAAAGAAAATATTTATAAATCAAATATTTAAGTCTCTTTTTAAGCAAAAGTTATTCTGCACGGTTGTCAAGTTTATGAAATTACATTCAGGTAGAGTTGTTTCATAATTGAGGGTAATTTTGATGATACTTGCTAGTTATTCAGAACTTTTGTTGATGAATAATGAGCCTGGATTACCTATTTTTGAAATGCCTCTAGCATCAGTTTAATTCTAGGGCATTTGCTTACAGCAGCAAATACAAGGGTATTAAAAAGTTAAAAGTTTTTGCAAGAAAATTTTTCACAGTTGGTATGTCTTAGTCTTTGTACTTTCAATCCTCTGTCTAGTCTAGTTTCTGCAAATGGCATATTTTTTGCCTTTTTAAATATCATATTCAATGTATGATGTTCTATGATAAGAATTGGCTTTAAAAGGTTGTACCAAGGATCATTGTAACCCATTTTTATACATTATTTTTTTAAAATATATTTTTATTGATTTCAGAGAAGAAGGGAGAGGGAGAGATAGGAACATCAATGATGCAAGGGAATCATTGATCAGCTGCCTCCTGCACGCCCCCTACTGGGGATCAAACCCGCAACGTGGACATGTGCCCTTGACACCAGTATCGAACCCTGGACCCTTCAGTCTGCAGGCCGACGCTCTATCCACTGAGCCAAATCAGTTAGGGCTGACCATATTTTCTTCACTTATAGTTTTAATAAATGATTATTTAGTGATTATTCAGAAGCCACCATCTGTTTATAAAGGTGAAGGACCGAAGGAGGTGTGCATCAAGGGCAATTTTTATTGGAACAGTTTGTAAAGCCTGTGTGTGAAGTCTTCAAGAACAACTTGCAGGGGCGTGGGAGTGGCAATTTGGTTGTTAAGAAATATTAGCATTTTGTTAAGAAATGCCACTGAGAAACAATTTTATTCTTTTTTTTCTAGCCTTCCTTTATGGCAAGACTGTCATGAGTTGTGGAGTAAAAAGCGAAGAAGACAGAAGCAGATGGGCATGACTGATGATGTTTCCACAGTTAAAGCCCCCAAAAAGGACTTGTCTCTGGGCTTGGATGACAGCAGAACGAACACACCCCAGGGTGTGCTGCCAACTTCACAGCTGAAATCTCAGGGCAACTCGAATGTGGCACCTGGTCAGTAATGCTTCCATGGTTTTCTTCCAGTTGTTTTATGGCTACTGTTGATTATATTGTTCTAGTGCTAAGGCATTGGAGGTTAAAAGTTGAACATTAAGGTTTATTCACTGAACTTGACATTTCTTTATTATTTGCTTGTGCCAGTACACATGTGTTGCTGGTACTGGCACCGCAATATTAAGCAATGTCAAGGTAAGATGAACTCACAAAGAGCAACTCAAATTACATATGACTAGTCATTAGTCAGATTTCTCTACTTTCTTTTTCCTCCTAGTACAGGAATCACTAGGTCTTTTGCTAACACTGTTCTCACTGAGGCTCAGCATTTAATGTCTGAATGCTCAAGAAGTAAGAAGGATATAGGAAAAGAGCCAAAAATTATAATAGAAGCTCTTTTGTACTGTCTATAATATCCTTAGAAGTTACTCTTAATATATTTCCCATTATATTATAGAATCTTAAAGATTGGAATCTGATTTTTTGTGCCAAAAATGACTTGAAGGATGACAAAGAAGGATATTTGGGGAAAACTTAAATTTCTTCCTCTGACTCAATCTATTGTAAGAGTAAGCTTCTTCATGAGAAATCAATCTCTTCAGTGTTAACTTTTCAAAAATGGAATCTATTCCCTCATTTGGCCTCAAGAAACCAGAAAGCATTCACGTTTAGTTTAATGTGTGTGTGTGTGTGTGTGTGTGTGAAGACAGAGACTAATATGAAATAAATACAGGCATACTTTGTTTTATTGTGCTACACTTTATTGCACTTCATAGATATTGCAATTTTCATAAATTGAAAGTTTATGGTAACCCTGCATTGAGCAAGTATTTCAGTGCCATTTTTCCAACAGAATTTACTCATTAGTCACATTTTGGTAACTCTCAGAATATTTCAAACTTTTTCATTATTTATTGTGGTGGTCAGTGATTGATCTTTTATTTTTTAAATATATTTTTTAATTGATTTTAAAGAGAGGGGAGAACATCAATGTAACAGAGAAACACTGATTGATTGCCTCCTGTATGCAACCCAACCAGGGGTCGAACCCCATATATGCCCTGACAAGAAATTGGTGACCTTTTGGTGCATGGGACAATGCTCAACCAACTGAAGCCACACCGGCCAGGGTGGTGATCAGTTACTATTGTTATTGTTTAGGGGCACCCCAACAGTGCCCATAGAAGACAGCTTACTTAATTGGTAAATGTTATATGTGTTCTGACTGCCCCATTGACCTTTTGACCATCTCTCCCCATCTCCTTGGACCTCCCTATTCCCTCAGACACAACAGTAAATTGAAATTAGGCCAGTCAATAACCTCATAATGGCCTCTACCTGTTTAAGGGAAAGGAAGAGCCACACTTTAAATCAAAAGCTAGAAACGATTAAGTGTAGTAAGGAAGGCATGCCAAAAGCAGTGTCAGACCAAAAGCTAGGCCTCTTGCACCAGTTAGTCAAGTTGTGAATGCAAAGGAAAAGTTCCTGAAGGAAATTAAAAGTACTACTCTAGTAAACACACAAATGGTAAGAAAGCTAAACAGCCTAATTCAAAGCAAGGCCATAACTCTCCTCAATTCTGTGATGGCTAAGAGAGGTAAGGAAATGGCAGAAGAAACATTTGGAGCTCGTAGAGATTGCTTCATGAGGTTTAAGGAAAGAAGCTGTCTTCCTAACCTAGAAGTGCCAGGCAAAGCAGCAAGTACTGATGGAGAAGCTGCAGCAAGTTATCCATAAGATCTAGCCAAGGTAATTAATGAAGGTGGCTACACTAAACAACAGATTTTCAATGTAGAAATACATCCTTAAACTGGAAGAAGATCTAGGACTTTGATAACTAGACAGGAGAAGTCAAAGCCTGGTTTCAGAGGACAGGCTAACTCTTGTTAGAGGCTAGTGCAGCTGGTGATTTTAAGTTGAAGCCAATGCTCATATACCATTCTGAAAATCTTCGTGTCCTTAAGAATTATGGTAAGTCTACTCTGCCTGTGCTTTATAAGTGGGACAACAACGCCTGGATGACAGGACAGCTGTTTACAGCATAGTTCACTGATATTGTAAGCCCACTGTTGAGGCTTAATGCTCAGCAAAAAAAAAAAAAAAAGATTCATTTCAGAATATCACTACTCATTGACAATGCACATGGTCCCTCAAGATCTCTGATGGAGATGTACAGCGAGATTAATGTTGTTTTCATGCCTGTTAACACAACACCCATTCTACAACTTATGGATCAAGGAGTAATTTCAAATTTAAAGTCTTACTATTTAGGAAATACATTTTGTAAGGGAATAGCTGCCATAGATAGTGATTCCTCTGATGGATTTGGGCAAAGTAAAAACCTGGAAAGTATTCATCATTCTGTATGCCATGAAAAACATTCATGATGCATGGGAAGATTTCTAAATAACATTAACAGGCATTTGAAAGATGATTCCAAACCCAATGGATGACTTTGAGTGTTCAAGACTTCAGAGGAGGAAGTAAGATGTGGTGGAAAGAGCAAGAGAACTGGAAGCAGAAGTGAAGCCTGAAGATGTGACTGAATTGCTGCAACCAATCCGATAAAACTTCTAACAGATGAGAGTTGTTTCTTATGAGAGAAAAGAAAGTGGTTTCCTGAGATGGAATCAACTCCTGTGACGATTGGTGAAATGATAAAGGATTTAGAATACCACATAAACTTAGATGATAAAGCAACTTCAGTGTTTGAGAGGTTTGACTCCAATTTTGAAAAAAGTTCTACTTTGGTAAAGTGTTATCAAATAGCATTGTGTGCTGCAAAGAAACTGTCACCCCAACCTTCAGCCACCACCACACTTGGTCAGTCAGCAGCCATCAACATTGAGGCAAGACCCTCCACCAGCAAAAAGGTTATTGACCAGCTGAAGGCTCAGATGGTGGTTAGCATTTTTTAGTAATAAAGTATTTTTTTATTAAGTATGCATATAATATTTTTAGAAATGATATTGTTGTATACTTAATAGACTTCAATATAGAATAAACATAGTTTTTATATGCACTGGGAAACCAAAAAATGTGTGTTGACTTGCTTTATTGCAATATTTGCTTTATTTGTGTGGCACCAAACCCACTCTATTTCCAAGGTATGCCTGTATGTACTAGTATATATGTGTGTATGTGTGTATGTAGAGGTGGTAGTTTATCAAACATGAAAAAGTAGCCTAGTACATACTAAGAGATGAATAAATATTGGTTGGTTAATTAATTGATAACAGATCTGTGAATTAGATTTGACTTTTGGTGGTTGAGTATAAATATAGATTAGATTAGCTGAGAAAGCTTGAGTAAGTTTACCATGAATGCTTTCCCATGTAATCTGCAAGCTCATACTTGACCTTGGTCAGACAACATTAAAGTATTGATACATGTTACTTTAAAAACCAGCAGCAATTTTTATTTCTTGTAGAGAAGTATTCTTCAGAATTTCTTGAAAAGTGGATTTCCCTTATACATTAAAATATTTTATACATAGCTCTGGAAAACATGTCTGTTGTACACATTATGATGGCTGTCTAAATCAAGTTCAGTTTATTTTCATGTTAAAAATGTGTAAAATATGGAGAAAGGCAAAAGAGAAGCAACAGGAAGTTTTCTTAATTTGCTTTTAAGTTACATGTTTTATATACCACCTACTACTGAAACAGGATCTGAGAGGTCAGTAATAACGAAGTGTGGATGGTAGTCAGTTGTCCCAGGTTACAGTTGTCATCTTCCTTAACAAGACTATCAGGTCTTTATTTCTGCTCCTATTCATGGAACTGTTGTCCTTATTCCACTAGCAAACCTAGTGGAAGGTTAGTTATTTCATTCTATTTTAGCTGGTAAAAAATGAATTGCCCTTTCTGGGCTCATTTTGTTATCTACATATTTAATAACCCTACTAATGGTGGATAGTTTAATTTTATTATTTTGTTTTCCTTTTTTTAAAATTCACTATTAAGTGAGAATTCTGATGTTTTTGAAATAGGAATGTATCCTCTTTGCTTAATTTTCTTCGTTAATCAGTAAGGGTCTTGAAATAGGGAAATGCCACTTCTGTAGAGGAGACACCATAAAGAGTACTTCTGAACTCATACAGAGACTGCCTCTGTTAATAGAGAAATGAAAGGGAAAATGAGGAAAAATAGCCTTTGGGGTGTAGTAATCAAACTTTGTTCCTTATTAATGCTGCAGGTCACAAGAATAACTTATAAAAGTTTGATTTAATCTAAAACTGATATCTGTAATAATAATAAAAGCATAATATGCTAATTAGACCCGATAGCCGAACGAACTTCTGGACATCCTTCCAGATGACCTTCTGGATGAAGCCAGGGCTGCGAGGGCTGAGGCAAGCGGCTGAGGCTGCAAAGCCAAGCCCCTTGCACGGATTTCGTGCATCAGGCCTCTAGCTATATAATAAAAATATCTCAAAATCTGTAAAGAGAGAATAGAAAAAGACAGTATTCATCATCAGTTTTTAATCTTTTTGGAGTGTTTCTTCTATGATGTGGTTATGGAAATTGCTTATCAATGTCTGTAGTATTATGTTGTACTAGAGGCCCAGTGTATGAAATGCGTGCCCTGGGTAGGGTCCCTCGGCCTGGACTGTGCCCTCTCGCAATCTGGGACTCCTCAGGGGATGTTGGACTGCCTGGATTGGGCCGAAACTGGCAGTCTGACATCCCCCGAGGGATGTAGCAGTGTGCGAAGTGGCAGGCAGCTGGGTAGGAGCCCGAGCCGGGCTCAGCGCTTGGTGCTGCTAACCCAGCCGTGGGCAAACTACGGCCCGCGGGCCGGATCTGGCCCGTTTGAAATGAATAAAACTAAAAAAAAAAAAAAAGACCGTACCCTTTTATGTAATGATGTTTACTTTGAATTTATATTAGTTCACACAAACACTCCATCCATGCTTTTGTTCCGGCCCTCCGGTCCAGTTTAAGAACCCATTGTGGCCCTCGAGTCAAAAAGTTTGCCCACCCCTGTACTAACCACTTGCTGCTTGCTCCTTACTGCTCACTTCTTAGTGCTGCTGCAGAGGTGGGAGAGGCTCCTGCCACCGCCGCTATGCTTGCCAGCCGTGAGCCCAGCTTCTGGTTGAGTGGTGCTCCCACCGTAGGAGCGCACTGACCATCGGGGGTAGCTCCTGCATTGAGGGTCTGCCTCCTGGTGGTCAGTGCGCATCATTGCGGCCTGTCATTTTGGTCATTCCACGTAAAGGTTGCTTAGGCTTTTATATATATAGACTAGAGGCCCGTTGCACAAAGATTCGCGCAATAGGCCTTCCTTCCCTTGGCTGCCGGTACCAGTTTTCCTCCGGCAACTGGGACCCAGGCCTTTGGTCCAGCCGCTCCGGCTGCAGCAGCGAGGCTTGGTTTCTCTGCTACGGCTGCAGCTGAGAAGCCAAGCCTCTTCAGTCTTCATTCATCTTCAGTGTTCAGTCCTCTTCAGTCTTTGCTCCATGCCTGCATATGCAAATTAACCGCCATCTTTGTTGGGTTAATTTGCATACTCATCCTGATTGGCTGGTGGGCATAGTGGAGTGATACCAATTTGCATGTTTCTCTTTTATTAGTGTAGATTATATGCATTTGAGCTTTGTTGTTATATAGGGGTGGGAAAAAGTAGGTTTATAGTTGTGGGGGTATGATAGTTTATTCTTATATTACTATTTATTTGTTATTGGATTATTTGTTATTAGTAACCTACTTTTGCCCACCCCTGTATATGATCCAGATAAGCTTTCACAAGAACCTGTATAAACGATCACAAGTCTAAACTGGAAATTGGAAAATGAAAAACCACTGAATCTGTTTTGCTGGTGATGAGTTATTTACCCAGAATAACTTAAAATTAAAAAAAAGTAATTTGAATAAAGTATACTTTATCAAAGAGCCTATGATAAAAGTTTGAATTAAGCACAAATCTAAGATGGAAGAAGATTTGACTTGGGTGGTAAACATACAATATAATATACAAATGACATATTGTAGAATTGTATACCTGAAGCCTATATAATCAATGTCACCCCAATAAATTCAATAAATAAAAATAAAGCATAAACTTAAAAAAAAACAAATACAAGGTTAGGTTCTTAGATAATAAGCATTATTTTAGATAAGTAGTACAGTGAGTAGTTAAAAAAGTGCAGATTCTGGAATCAGAATGCTAGGTTCAAATCTCAACTCTGCCACTTACAGAGTTTATGACTTTAGACAAGTTATTTAATCTCTCTAGGTGTCAGTTTCTTCCTCATTAAAAATGGGGCCAATAATAGGGTATGCCTTATATTGTTGTAAGTGATAGAGGATATAAAATGCTTAGAAAGCACCTGACACTAGCTATCGTCGTCATCATCATCATCATCATTCATTCCCATTCACAGGTGACATTTCCTAGTTACCTTATAGTATAGGGTTCTAGTGATAGTTTTGATTTTCCTTTTGAAATATTTACTCCTAAAGATAATTTATTCAAAATGGACCACATTTCTTTTTTTTTAAGTTTATATACAGTTACATCTTAAATGAATATGAAATTAAATTAAACTGAGATTCCCTTTTTACAGTGTTTCTTAAACACTGTCCTACAAATATACATTTTCATGTGGTCATACAGAGCCATTTTGTGGGTGGGGCAGCCATGAATTACAGCAATTCTAATTAATACAAATTTTGTCTTTAGTAAAAACAGGCCCTGGACAGCAGTTAAACCACACTGAATTGGCAATTCTACTAAACCTACTACAATCTAAAACAAGTATTAATATGGCTGATTTTGTTCAAGTGTTGAACATTAAGGTAAACTCTGAGACTGAACAACAGCTAAATAAAATAAACCTTCCTGCTGGAATTTTGGCAACAGGTGAAAAACAGACAGATCCATCAACACCACAACAGGAGTCTTCAAAACCATTGGGAGGAATTCAACCTTCTCAGAGCGTCCAGCCTAAAGTGGAGACTGATGCTGCCCAGGCGGCCGTGCAGAGTGCATTTGCGGTTCTGTTGACTCAGTTAATAAAGGCTCAGCAGTCAAAGCAGAAAGATGTGCTACTAGAGGAAAGGGAAAATGGATCGGGCCATGAAGCAGCATCGTTACAACTCAGACCGCCTCCAGAACCTAGCACTCCAGTATCGGGTGAGTGTGCAGATAGCAGACCCCTAATGTAGCTGCGTTCACACTGTTTTCTTGCTGTTGATGGTTATCTATAATGTGTATTGTTGAGTGGCATTGCTAGGAGATGTCTGAAAATTCTCAGGTCTTAGGTTTTTTAATCTGTTCTAAAAATTGACTCTTTAGCAAATTATCCATGTGCAATATAACTTATTATGAACGTCATGGATTTCTATGGTTAAGAAATAATCTTTTACTCCAACTATAACAGGATGATTGACCAAGGCAGAAATTTTGCGTATACAGTAGCTTTTGTTCTTCAAGCAATAAACAGGTATATATGAAATACCTTTGAAAAGTCAAATATAATTTAATTTTTTGGTCACGATAGACTTAAATGGTAGTAGGCAGTATTAGGATTTATATACCGTTTCCCTTTTCTTTCTTTTTTTTGGGGGGGGGGGATTACGCAGAGATGGAACTTCTAATGCTCTTTAGGACCACCCATAGGAAACATTAACTATTTTGAACATTTGGTTTTCCACAGTATATTTTGACTTTTTTTCTTCTTCTTCTTTTTTTTTTTCCTTTTTCACTTAGGGCAAAATGATCTCATTCAGCACCAAGATATGAGGATGTTAGAGCTCACACCAGAACCAGACCGGCCTCGTATTCTGCCTCCTGATCAACGACCTCCGGAACCACCTGAACCACCACCAGTCACTGAAGAAGATCTGGATTATCGGACAGAAAACCAGCATGTTCCCACCACTAGTTCTTCACTAACTGACCCTCATGCCGGAGTGAAAGCAGCCCTGTTACAGCTGCTTACTCAGCATCAACCCCAGGATGATCCCAAAAGAGAAGGTGGTATTGATTACCAGGCAGGTGATACTTATGTACCCACTTCAGACTACAAGGACAATTTTGGATCCTCTTCTTTCTCTTCTGCTCCTTATATTAGTAATGATGGTCTAGGAGGTGGCTCTGCTCTACCATTGGAACGACGTAGCTTCCTTGGAAACTCAGATATTCAGTCTTTGGATAACTACAGTACTACTTCATCTCATTCTGGTGGTCCACCTCAGCCTTCTGCCTTTTCCGAGTCGTTTCCCAGTTCAGTGGCTGGATATGGAGACATTTACCTCAATTCTGGTCCCATGTTGTTTAGTGGAGACAAGGACCATAGATTTGAATATAGCCATGGCCCCATTGCAGTCCTGGCGAACAGCAGTGACCCTTCCACAGGGCCAGAGAGTACTCATCCTTTGCCAGCAAAGATGCACAACTATAACTATGGTGGTACCTTACAGGAAAACCCGGGGGGCCCCAGCCTCATGCATGGACAGACCTGGACTTCTCCTGCCCAAGGACCTGGATATTCACAAGGATACAGGGGACACATTAGCACATCAGCTGGCAGAGGTCGAGGCAGAGGGCTACCATACTAAGTATCAGTTTTTCCTCAGGCACATCATTTTTATCTGGAAAGACTTTTCTAGCTGCAATTTAAGGCAGCAATCCAAGAGACTTGAATAATATTAATTCAACAACAGCTTTATTTTTATGTGGAAAGGGTCTTGCATACAATAGTTTAAAAAGACCAAAAAAACAAAAAAACCCACCTTTGCTTAAATTCATGCTGTTCTAAAAACTAGATCTATTGATTGTACATCTTCACAAATTCTAGTTAACAGTTTTATTTTGTATTCTTGCAGTTTTAAGTGGATGCTAATATTAGGGACATAAAAGTTCTTTATGGCCCTCTTGCAGATCTGAACTATGCACATTTGTGCTTTTTTTTTGTAAGTTTGGACCAACTTTTATGTAACAACCAACCAATTCCTCCCTTCTCCAGTTTTACAACAATCAGAAAGGGCACTGATTTATTTGGTATTTTTCTTTTTACAAAGCTACCTTTAGTCAAAGGTCACTGTCAGTCTTTGCACCTGCTTTCAGTGTTATTGTGAAAGGTGTACTTTGTGCTCATTTCAGAAAATAAAACACAACCTTTCTCTTGATGCAAGTTTTTATAAAAAAAAATGGTCAATGTTATTTTTATTTTATTTTGCAGATTATCATAACCTAGCAAAATGCATTCAAATGAAAAGTGGGTTTTATATGAAAAATATGGGTAGGGTGGGGGGGTAAGTAAGTGCCTTAACAGGTAAGCTTAAGGTCTGAAAAGTAGTTACCTTTACACGCATTTGTCTTCTGAAGGGAATCAATGCATTGTATTGAAGAGGAAGGGAGCTCTTGGGGGTTTAGGGCTGCCTGTTCAGTTCCTGTTAGATCCATTCTCTGCGCATCACACTTTCTCCTTTTCTGCCTGTCTTTGGGCTGTGTTATCTTCCACTACCACCTTCTCTTGAAAAGGGAGGGAGAGTAAAGTACTGCGATCAGTACTTTGTTACTTCCGATAAGGTCTAAAAAGTTTTGTCATTTAAATGTTGAAAGTAAAAATATATATATTGAAAGCAATAGCTTAATGAGAATTTCAGAGCATGTTTTCTTTTAGGCTGCCATGTCCTTCCATTTCCATTTGCCATGGGTAATTGGCGGGCAGTAACATAGAAGCAAGACCTAACAGAATTTGCATAATTCTATTACCACCATTGGGGGGAGGGGTAGCAAACACCATATTTTAAGTTACACAATTGCCATTTTAAGAAAAATTAACGCTGGTCACTTGTTAATTACAAACATTGCCTAAATTTAATTTATTGCAAGTAAAAAAAAGTGAGAGAAAACTTCTCCTCTCACCTGTGAGGTTTATTAGGACTTCTGCCAGACTTAGAGCAACTTTAGTTCAATTCAGCATTTTTTAAAATTAAAAGCAACAAAGAATGGAGAAATTCTTATTTAAATTGTAATGTGTCAAATCTAACTTTTTGTGCACACTCACACAGATAATTACAATAATTTTAGAAAGGAACCAAAGGTACATAACCAGTGTTTCCACATCATTAAGTGAAAAAATAGGCTCTGGAAATGAGAGTTGTATCAATTAACCATTTTGTTTTCACTGTTCTCTCCTGGAATCTGATTTGGAATCTTAAATTGAAACAACTGTTACAGAATGGAAATTGCTCCAGTTCTAAAGTCAGTCTTTTAACCCTGTGCCCTCTATCTGACTTGTGAACCTTCCTTTAATATAGTATATGGGAAGCATTCTAGCTTGGTGAGAGTAAGAATATTTTAAAGTGGATAATTTACCATTTTACTGCTATAAAATGATGTCAGTTGACCATTTTATTTTTTGATGGAATTTTTTTGTTGTTGGGGAGAAATGAATGAAAGAAAAACTTATTTTGCTTTTATTTGGATATTAAGTACTAACAACTTATAATGAAACTGCATTGCAGGAAGTGAATAAATATTTTGAAATTTTACAAAATAGCTACAGTATTCAAGTATCTGAAATTTTAATATGGTGAGTCTTAGAGCTTTAGACTTTCCTATAAGTGACAGTATCTAAGTTATTCTTAATAGTCATACTTGTTAATTCTGCTGACCATAGTAGCTAACATAAAATTGAAGATATTTATGTGACATGAATAGACTGTGTTTTAAAAATTAAATATTTTATATACAATTGAACTGTGTTTGGATAGTTTTTCTAATTAAATCTTTTAGTTACGTATTTATGTTTCGAGAGCGGCTGGATGGATAGGGAAGTTGTTACTTGAATATTGCCCTAACGCAGCATTGATTGAGAGACATACCAGTATTTTATGCAACACTTAGAAATAATGTTGCCAATTAAACCACAATACAATTCTAAATAAGATGAGCAAATTTAAAGATTCTCCCCAAATTCAGAAATGGGAAAGAATGTGTCTTAGAATCTATGAAATACAGTAGTAAAAATCTTATACCATTTAATATTTTAGGAATTTGGACTAATAAAAAGAGCAGGGTTAGGAAATTGCTAATTCTGTAGGTTATAAAAATTGCAGTAATCACTAGGTATTCTGGAGAGAAATCTAAGGAACATAAAATATTGCTTAAGTTTTTTGGAAAACAACCACACGGTAAGTCGGGTTCCAAATAAAATGAAAACAGAGTAGATTGACCTATCAAAAGAAGAAAATGTTTGTCGCCCATGGGAAATGCCTTTGTGTATTTCCTGACACAGCAAGTTTTTCTGCATGTAACTCATTATGTTTCCCATCTTTATTTAGTTCATTATGTGTTGAAGAGTTATAGTCACCCATGTAATTTAAAAAGACTCATTTTAAGGGATTTATTGATTAAAACAGTTTTCAAATGTGAATTAAGATAATGTGTTAGCTGTGATTCAGAGCTTCATTCTATCAGTAAATATATATTTAGTGCCTACCAAGTGCCAAGTACTGTTCTAATTACTTGGAATACATCAATAAACATGGAAGGCATTAAGTCATACTTTGAGTAGGCTGACAGTGAACAGGGAGATTTTTAAAGTGTCTTGAAAAGCTATTTGCCACTTGAAAATGTGAATGTCTTTGTAAAATTTTAAAGTCATAGTTGAATACAGAAATAAGGTTCTGGAAAGAATAGAACAACTGGAAACTCAATAATGAAAACAAATTTTTAGTTGCATCTAGCTAGTTTGTAGTAAGCCAATTTGTAGGAAATATCAAGATTTCTTGAGAAAAATGGAAGGTAAATGGGTTAAATGCTTCCAAACTAATCTCACTGGTACTTAGGAGTTAAAGTACCAGTATTTGCTATGAGCTTAGTCAAATTTTTAATAACTTTTCACCATAGGTCCTTTATGTACTTATTTTTTTTGGAGTAAGTCTGAAATACATGTTTTGAATAAAGATCTGATTCCCTGGGATATTGGTTTTGATAATTTAAAAGTCTGAACAGGATGTCCAAGTAATTTAAAGTTATCTGGTCCATCTCTTCACTTTACTGCTAAGAAAATGAGACTTAAGAGAGATGGATTGCCAGTGCTTGTTCCTCTAGCTAGGTTTAAATTCTGCAGAAAATACTTAACTTTTCGATAGGAAAATTGACTATTAATGTACCAATGTTTTAGTAAGAAAAATTAAATTTAGAATACTGAACAACTAATTTAAGTCAGGTGACTTTAAAAAGTCAACAATCGAGAAAAAATAGGAAAATAAGCAATTTTAGAAAATTTAATTAGGGACTATTTCATATGTGGGTAGTCTTTAAAAAGGAGGCTCCTCTTTTTTTTTTTTTTTTTTTTTTTTAAAGATAATAGCTTCTTAAATATCCAACAATTAGAAAATAAGACTGAATCATTAAAGTGTATTTTCTATTTGTAGGAGGAAGAGTGATATCAGCAAGTCTGCAAACATTGCTTTTATACTTTATCAAGGTTTTATGATTTTTAAGTTGTTTTATAGGGGGAGCAATGGTTTGTGAGGTACCAGAGGCCCCTCCAGATAAGTTCTTAAACTGTTTCTACTTTAATTAAAAACAAAAGCTGTAAATTAATAAAGTATCAAGGGATCCAGTTGAAGATGGGGAAAACAAAATTTTAATCATAATGGAAAAACCTGGCCCTTCAAAGTATATAGACTAAAATTTTGTGAGTCTTATTCCTTTCACCATATCAAATGTCCCATTAAGAAAGAATTTTCTGGTTCTAATTGCATTCAAAATGCTGCTGTGTAGTGAATCACCCTTTAATTTTTTTCACAAGTTAATTTGTTGTAAAGTTATGCTTTTTATTTTTTGGCAAGAACTTTTAGTAAAGTCTTGTAACTGTTAAATCTAATGTGTTTAAGCCATTTGTTTAAAAAAAATCTGTATTTGATAGTCTGTAAATAAACTGCCATTAAGAATTTCCAGGCCATTTTTAGCCTTGTTTTCTTCTTGTTTATCTGCAGAACAAATTTAGGAATCTTGTCTGATAAAGGTGACCACTTGTTATCCACTCTGGCATGTTTTATTGACTAAGTTTAAAGACCTGGAACCTTTTTTCCTTTTTTATATGAGTACATATGTGAAAACATAGGAACACAACCAGAGATAACCACCATTAATATTTTTCCTTTTGATGGATGGATGTGAATGCAAATCTATTTTTTAAAAAAACAATGGGATTACATTTTGTGATTAGTTTTTTTTCATGTAATATATTGTGAACATCCTATGTGTCAATAATTCTATCTTTTTAGTGGTTCTAAACTCTTTTATGGGAAAACCGTAATTTAACAACTTATTATTGCTGAACATAAAATATTTCTAATTGTTATAAATAACAATATGATGAAAATCCACATAGATACATATATACAAGCATACATAAATTCCTTGGAGTTGCTGGCCTAAAGAGTGTACTTCTAAACTTTTGCTTCTAAATTTCTAAGCTTAAAATTGCTCTCAGGAATGGTGCTCAAGTTTTACATTCTTTTTACTTCTGCTTTTCATTTAGCTATGTTAGTTATTTAAAATTTTTAAGTCTTTGCCAGTTTAACAGGTAATAAATCATCTTATTTTAATTTATATTTCTTAGTGAAATTTATTATTTCATGTTAGCCAGTTGTCTTTTGTTTATTAACTATTCATAAGCTTAATAGGTATTTATCTCTTGCTCTGAAGAGCTCTTTATATAAGGAAGGTAGCCCTTTTTAATCTTAAAAATTCTGGGGATATGTTTTAATTATGTATAGTGAAGTCTATCTTTCTTTATGGTTTCTTCTTAGAAAAGCTTTCTCTACTTTAAGATTACTTTGCCCTGGCTGGTTTGGCTCAGTGGTTGGAGCGTCACAGACTGAGGGGTGTTGGGTTTGATTCCCGGTCAAGGGCATATACCTTGGTTGCAGGGAAATTTTTAAAGTGTCTTGAAAAGCTAGTGGTATTTGCCTAGTAGGGGCTCCTGGGAGAGGCAACCGGTCCATGTGTGTCTGTCACTGCATTGACTCTCTCTGTCTCTCCCCCCCTCCTTCCTCCTTTCCACTCTCCCTGGAAATCAATGGAAAAAATAGCCTCAGGTGAGGATTAAAACAAACAAAAAGATTGATTTTCACACAGATTTTAGTTTACTTCTCTAGCATTCTACTTTTAGTTAATTCTAAGCCATTCTGGAATTTGTTAGATGTGAGGTAATGACCCAAATTTATACTTTGTTACTAATTAGGCCAACAACATTTGTTAAACAATTCATTCTATCCCTAGATAGAAATTCTTGATACTCATTTGGGGGTATGTTTTTATTGATTTGAGAGAGAAAGAAACATCAACTGGTTGCTTCCCATTCTTGCCCCAACCTGGGATCGAACCTGCAACCTGCGTATGTATCCTGACTGGGAATGGAACCCACCACTTTCTGACTCTCCAACCAGCTGAGCCACAGCCACACCGACCACGCTGGCTATCTCTAGTTTTAAAATACCATCTCTGTCTTATGTGGGTCTATATCTGGACTTTCAGTAGTTATGTTCCACCCCTGATCTTTCTCTTCTGGTTACAAGTACTACACTCTGTTATAAACTATGCATCTTTCATTGTAGTCTTTTTTAAATCACTTCCAGGAACAGTTTGTGACACAGACAATATTTGTTGTAGGATAGAACTCAATTGTTCCTTTGTCAAAGTTTTCTATTGCTGCCCATTTATTTTTCAATGTGACTTTCAGAATCACATTTTGATCACTTAAGTATTGTGTTAGTATTTTAACTGGAAATATACGCTATATTACGTGTTTAAATTTATAATGGTGAGCAGGTCTTTTCATTGCAAGCATAGTGTTTTATTTTGGAATGTTCCTCATTAAAAGTTTGAAATATTCTTTATAGTTCTGATATGTTTGGGGTTTTTTTAAGTTTCAAAAAATATTTGTTTTGCTTTTAGAAATGGACTCTTCATATTATTATTAAGGATTGTAATATTTTAAACCAGTCACTACTTATATAGAAAAGCTGTTGTGTGTGTGTTTTTTAAATTGGCCACAATATTTGGCTTTTCTATTATCATTTTTAATGGCTTTCAGTTGACTGAATATGATAATGGGAATTCTTTTTCTTTTTTAAAAGATTTTTTATGGATTTTTAGAGAGGGAGAGGATGAGAAATAAACATTTATGTGAGAAGGCGACATGGATTGGCTGCCTCCTGCATGCCCCCTACTGGGGGGTCAAGTCCGCAACCCAGGCATGAGACCTGACTCGGAATCAAACCAGCAACCTGCCAGTGCATGGCACAACACCCAACCAACTGAGTCACACTGGGTAGGGTGGGAATTTTTGTTTTGGATCTTATGAATGTCTAATTTTTGCTTTTTGTTAATCCTGTCCAGAGTTTATTTTTCCATTGATTTTTAGGGAGAATGGAAGAGAGAGGGAAAGACAGAGAAACATCGATGTCGATTGGTTGCCTCCTGCACAAGCTCTGACCAGGGTCCCACCAGCCAGGTTGCAGGCTCCAACCAAGGTACGGGCCCTTGACTGGAATCGAATCTGCGACCTTTTGTTCTGCAGGCTGACGCTCTAGTCTATCCACTGAGCAACCCGGCTACGGCATGAATATCTAATTTTGAGTATTTCACTCATAAGATTTTTTTAATGTATTTCTGTATTTACCAATATATGGATTTTCTCCTTTAACCTAGTGATGATAGATACCAGTTACATTAGTAGAATCTAATATTGAGCCATCTGTTTGCTGCATTCTGTTGACTAAACTTGTATTTAGGATTTTGTATTTATTATTCACTCATAAGAGAGAAGTCTGGTTTTGATTAACAGGTTTTGATGTCTTTCCAGAGTAAATTAGAAAACGATTTCATGTTTTATTTGATTTAGAATAGTTTATATTTCTGAGAATTACCTGTTTTCTGAAGTGGTATTATTTTATTTATATCCAAATACGCCTGAATCTTTTCTTGAATGTAATTCTTTCACAAGTTTTCTATTTCCTCATGTGTTCTTGTTCTGTCTCTTGAGTAAATCTTGGTAATTCCCCTTTTTCTGGAAATTCATATATAGTCTACCTTATATTTAAAATGTTTTTTTAGCATATGGGTACACTTAATGTTAATGTTTAAATATATATGTTATCTACTATTACATATCCTTTTTTTGTCTTTTCTCCTTGTCTAGACAAATAGGATTTGCCCCATTCCACCTCCATATTCTTTTCTCACCACCAGAGAATAATTATCATTTATTTCTAATTTATTATAGTATATTGATTTTGATTCCTTTCCTTTACTGTCTTTATTTTTCTTCCTTTCAATCCTAAAAGAAACCATTTTTAATGATATGAATTCTCTTCTGATTATTTGGCTCCATCCTATAGGTTAAGAATGTATTTGTTTTCTAAATTTCTGGCAGTGCAAATTTGATTACTTGTTTCATCCAAGAATTATTTAGGATAGTGTATTTCAACTTCAGGTGGTTGGTATATTTAGAATTTTTAGTTTAGCTTTTTTTGTTAATCACTTGTAATTTCTATTGCATGTAGTTTTCTTTTAAAGATTTCTTTTTAGATTGCTAAGCAAACAACTTTTGTAAATATTTCCTGGGTGCTGGGGTGGGTATGTCCTTTGTACAGTTTTCATATAACCATTAAATTGATATCATTAATTAAACACTGGTGAGATTCTCTATAACCTTCCTTATCTCTCAAGAAGTGAGACAGTTAAGTAAATTCTTATGCTGCTATTATGTATTTTTTCCTTAGCTGTCTAATCCTTTTTGCTTTATATATTCAGCATACACCTGATCATAAATACTTAATTTTTTTCCATTCAAGTTTTTTTTTTTAATATATATTTTGAATTACTTGGGCTCTGTCAGTTTATTCTGTACTTTGCCTTTAAATTTTATTTTTTAAATGCTACCTTGCTGGCTTTGTTTCTAATCTTTTGCTACATTTTTTTTTTCATTTTCTCTCTTTTTTAAATTTGTATTTTGGGTTTTTCTGTTGATTTTTAGTGTGTACAGGCTTTATATTTAGCTTTAAATATTTCAAAGACTTTGAAAACTCAAACTGATTGTAGGTTATTATTGACCTTAGTGGTTTAAAAAGCAGGCTTACAAGCCAGTCCAAATCCTGGCTTTATTATTTATTAATCTGTATGACCTTAGGTTACCAAAATATTGATTCTCAGTTTTTACATTAGTGAAATGGAACAATGAAACAATACCTAAAGTTTTCAGGATTGGATAACTTAAAAGTGCCTGGTATATTGTATAGTAATTGCTTTATGAATGTTTGCTGTTGGAGAAAGAGATTGGGTGGGTGTAGTAAAGGGAAATTTTACTTCATCGTTGATGACTATTTCTTATTTTAATTTAGAAAAATGTCTTTGTAATAAAATAAATTCTGAGTTGGAAGGTGTCGATTCCAATCAACCAATAACAATATTCACCATTGATGCTTTCCACATAATATAAAATATTTGAACTATCTTGTGTCTAGTTCCATCTTAAACATCTGAAGGACTGATTAGTGCAGAACTCTCTAAAGTGTCATTTTCTTTAGAACACTACAGTTTATTTTCAAATTCAGAGAAATGATTTATTTCTCTGTGTCCATTGGAAGAGATAAGGTAATTCTACATTTGCTAGAAGGAAATGGTATAAATCTTCTAGCATCTGAACCATTCACTTCAGATATTTTAGTCTTTATCCCGTGTTCAGATTGGCTCTTTCAGGCCATACCCGAACACAAAAGTTTCAGCCTTGAATGGGCATCAGAATCACATGTTAAGTTTCATTTTAAAAGTTATTTAAGTATAATATGTATAAATTAAGGTAATATTAAGTGCACTTAATGAGTTTTATATGTTTACTAGAGGCCTGGTGCACAAGTTTGTGCACCAGTGGGGTCCCTTGGCCTGGC